TTGAGCCCCCCGATGCTCACAGGTCACTGGTCCCGCAGCATCACGACTGTTCCCACTGGACCTCGTGTCGAACTTTAGAGCTGGAATCTCTGATCTACAGCGTGTCCCGCGCCACTGAAGCCTAAATGAGCCCTCTCCCCATGTGTTATTTGTGCTTTCAGAGTACTTTTGTAAGGCAGCTGATAATACGGGATTCGCTTTTTATATTTTGTGCAGATAAAACCAGCTTTTTTTATACTGTTGCTTTCTTTTTGTGGGTAGGAAACGGATGCGACTGAATTTTGAGCTCCATACAGAGAGAGAGGGCACGTTGCTAACTGATTGTTGCTTACTTTAATGGGACTGATACACTTTGATTCTTTTGATGTGGCAGAAAACTCCAGTTCACGCAGAATCTAGACATCTGAGGGAGACCGAGTACATTTTGGGAGTACTGCAAAAACCAAAAGAAACCTCCAAATAAGCTTAACTTTCTTGTGTAATTTGCCACAAATGTTCTGTCATTCAGTGCCAGTTTTAATGTTTTGTGAATTTGAGAAAATATATGAAGTCTGGACGCAGAGTTGTTGTTTTCTTATTCGACTGGAGCCCGGTTTCTTGTTTTGCCGCCGCAGTCAGCAATTAGTTTGCTACAGGCAGCTCAGCTGTCTCTTTTACCCAATAAACGCCCTCCGTGGGGGATTTTGCTGCACAATCAAAACCACATGTGCTTCAGATGAGGCACCTCTCCATTTGGGTCGTTGCTTCTCCTCCTCGTCATCACCAGCTATCGGTGACGGATACATTCTTGCATCATGTTCGGAATCTTTTTGCTCCCTCCGACCAGGCATTCCTGGAGTTTTCCCACTGAAGAAAGAGAGTTTGGATTTTTTCTGAGGATTCCTGCCCCTCGTTGCCTTTCTCCAGATCCCTGTGAAAAGAGTCCCAGTGAGCCGCAGCCAAGCCTCAGCAGGGATGTGAGCTGCCGGGAATGTTATATAAAGAACAGTGGGGCCCTCCAAGGAGACAGACCATTTGCCTAAAAAACTGTTCTTGTGCAATAGTTCACATCTATCCTCAGGGAATGTACGTTTCTATGTTAAGCAACTTAAAATTGTCCTGTGACGCAGTCAGGCACATGAAATACATCAAACTCAGAAGAAGGAGCCGGTGTTGTAACCATTCATTAGAAATACCTTAGCAAAACACATTTTGCAACCAGAGGCCTGTGGCAAAGACAATTAACTACTTGTCTTTCTTTGGTTGAATTCATATAACTTAGCAAAGATAACACAGTTTGACATATTATAAGAGTTTTGAAGCAACAAGCAAAGAGCCCCAGGCTGACAACTTGGCATGTCTGAGCATGGTGTGCAGCATGTTTAGGGAAACTGGACAACTGGAGGACGAAAGGAAAAGAGCTGGGCCTAAATAAATATCTCCAGCAGATCAAAGAAAGTGGAACAAATCCATCAAAGACCTGACAGAGGAGCTGAGAGATGCATCTGGACCTTCAGCTGGTCCGGTCTTAAGGAAGGGAAACGGCTGAAATCCACCCAGAGCTTGTCTGTGTTTGAAGAGGAATAATACTCTTACCAAATATTAACTTTCAAATATTTTCTGCATTTTTTTCAAACGCTGTATGTACATCCATGTTTGCTCCCACTTCAATAGGCACGCATTTCCTGTTTTTCCTGAAGGATGCAAAGAAGTGAGAGACTGTGAAAGCTGTAGACTTTCACACGTGGCTTTGCAAAGCATAAAACTCTAATCCACCTTTGACTTAGAAACGCAGCCTTCTCACCAGCCAGGAAAGTGGCAGCATGTCCAAACTCAACAGAAGCACAACTTACAAGCCAGGGCAGGAGAGAAAAAAAACAGAAGGGCCTGAGTCTCTCCTCCAAAACTCTCCAGGAGGGGAGACTCTCCCAGAGAGTCCTGGAAGAGTCTCTGAAAAAGATTATCAGAGAGGCATGGGGCTTGAGGATGTAGGTGTTCAGGATGCCGAATGCTTCAGCACAGAAAGTACGAAGGAGGAGAAAAAGGGAAGCTTGTGCTATAGGGATACTGGTAACTTAATGACGCAGTGCTACGCCAAAAGCAGAGAGATTAGTACTATTGCTCAACTTCCGCAAGAATGCAGACCTCTCTCACAGGTATCCTGTGTGCTCTCTGAAGACTATAAATATACTTTTAGGCCCATCGCGGTGGGATAATGCTTTGCGTGTGGAGGGCGGGAACTCACAGCCGACTTTTGTGCAGACCTTAATAAACAATCATTCCAAAGCTTGGCCGACAAGCCGGCCATCTGCTTCTCATTGCTGACTCTTTCTGTGGGTTTTCAGCTCTTTCGCAACAGAAGATGCAGTTTCAGAAAAAGGTGTTTGGAGATATAAAGGGGGGAGGTGGGGAAGAAGGGGGGGGGCTGAGCGAAGTGCGCTTTCCTGGAAAAGTTTTCCAGGACAGAGCCAGAGATGAGCGCTGGATGGTGGGCCGGCCCAGAGATGGAATGATAAACAACGCGACCCAAAGCGGAAGCAATCAGCCGCTATTACAGACCCCACGTCAGAGGCAGGGCGAGCCATGCAGCCGTGGGCCGACACACACACACACACACACACACACACAAACACGTTCACGGCCGGCGGCACGTCGACGGCCGGCAGCGGGCGGCGTGATGTCAGAATTACAGGGCTGGGAGGGACTTTGAAGCCAGTGCACTCCTCAGGCTGTTTACTTGTTGTTAGGTGCACTCCTAATTTCATCACGTAGGCCGAGTCTCATCCAAACCAAAGCAGGAGTCAAACGCTTCAAATCTTTTGACAGATGAAGCTTTTTTAAAAAAAGACAAGCTAAAGAAGCGCAGAGCGGCCTGCAGGCATCCTTATCACCAGAGCCCGTGCTAAACACTTCCCCCTGAACGTCTGCCATTCAGTGACAATGGCCAGATTAATATTTCCACTAAAGTTGTGTAAATATTCAATTAGGGAGCTTTGCATAGACCAGGCCACGGTTGTTACAGTAACCGAGGTTCTTGCTCTCTTCTGTGGCTGTTTTTAGACGACCTCCGCCCCGGTTTAGCCCTGAGGTCACTCAGCACCAGGCTTGTTTGGGTTCTGAAACTTCTCAGGATTTGTTGCCAAACGCTGTTTCTGGGAGGCTCTGCAGAAACATGACTTCAGCTTCTGATGCTAATTCATATATATGTTTGGTAACAACAAAGTCACATTCAGCAAATGCATTCTGGAGCTATTTGTAAGAAATGAGTGATAGCCTTATCATTGCAAGAAAAAGCTTTGGTGTGATCAAATCAACGCATTGGGCTTTCACCATGCGTTTTAGATCTGTCTGCCTGAGCCTGATAATAGTCAGCCGTTGCATCATCCTGATAAACGATGATAAACACCCCAAAACACACCCTGCACGAGCATTCATCACTCCACCGAAATAATGCCTTCCAGACTGATCCTTGGCTTTTGTGCATGACTTGTCCTCATAAACAGGTTTTTTAATTGCAGCTGTTCGCTGTCAGCGTGGGCAGCAGGCCATCCGTTCTGTTCATTAGAGGGCCGCACGCTGGCTTTCCCAGGGTCTTCTGTTTGTGTGTTACACTTGAACTTCAACCTTTCAGCTGATAGCGGTGGAATGGATAATCAGAGTTTTTAGCCGCTCGCCGTGCCTTCCTAAAACCCTGTAAAGAGAGAGTGGTCAGGCCCAGAGGTTTTGGCTGATGGCTACTGTGCACAAAAGCCACCGTTAGCACCCCTAGCAGCACAGAGCAGCTTCACTTGAGATCACTACCATGAAATCTGCACGCACACAACACACACCAGGCTTATTCGTTAAGTAGGCTTTTATTGTTTTCCTCCTCCCAACAAAATTCCACTTGTGCTGCAAATGCTTTGTCGTGGTTATAAAACCTGCTCTACACCAAATTACAAATGTACATATATAGTCATCTACTCTGTTGTAAAAATTAATAAATTAGATCAATAAATAGTCTTTTAATTGACACAAGCAGCAGAGGTATCAGAAGGCTGATAACAAAAGAAGTATTTCCATGATGTCCATGGTGCGACCCCCTTTTCACTCCTAATTCAGGCTTAAAGACAATATGTCCCAATTTTCTTCCACAGATGTGATGGATGAGTCTGTTGGAGATATGCTGGGGACACATGGTGCTGGGTCAGTCCGTTGAAACGGTTGCATAGGTATGTGGACAACCCCCCGTGCCCCCCTTCCCACTCCCCCCCCCCTTCCCACCACATCAAAAGGTGCCCAAAATGGCAGTAAGTCCTTCAAGCATTCATGTTTCTCAACCCCCGACACCTTGCTATCGCCGGAGCTCGGGGGAGTGGAAAAGAGGCATGTGAAGTGGGAAACAGGCCCTGAGACAGATAACCCCTCCGGTTGGGACCCCTGCGCGGTGCTCACATATCAGGCGGCTGCAGGAGGCAGGAGGTGGGCCCGGGGAGTTCACGGCCTGTCAGGTTGCCTTGGGGAGGTCATTTCGCTGCGGCCAGGCACACGGCGTTCTGATTAGCGCTCGCATCTCGTGGGGAAGCCAGAGATAATTGGAGAGGAAGACCGATGTCAAGGGAAAGCAGAGGGAGGAGGGCACTGACCCTAGTTCCCACCCGGCCGGACAGATTGAAGGATAGGTTGAGTTCTTTGGGAACTGACCCTATCTTTTGTGTCTTTCTAGTTTTTCTGGATATGACGGCATACCTTTACATCATTAGTGGGTAGATCTGCTGCACGTCTCTACCGTCCTCTCCTGCCTCTCTGTATAAGGTGGAATAATTGTTTGTCTTGCAGTACAAAATATGCATTTGTCCACTTGGAGTGCACAAAGTTTCATCGATAGGGAATCAATCCGTCTAGTCGCAGAGATTCCGATAACTGTCCTTTTCTTTTCGTGAAGGCATCATTGGTCTCATGTCCTTGCAGCTTATCGCTAGTTTTGTGTCCTTCCTCGTGTGGTAAGACTTTGCGAAGAGTTAAACTCTGAGAGCGGCGGACTATCTGCAGCCACACTCGGCCACCACCATGCCCTCGTACTTGTACTTGTAGGTGACCACCCCTGTGTCGTCCAGGTACAGCAGGGAGATGGGGTCCAGCTTGGTGGGCACGCAGCAGGCCCGCGCCGCCTTCTGGGGGCTGTTGATGTTGACCAGCGTCTGGACGATGGCGTGCTTGGTCGGCGTGACGTGTTTGGTCAGCGGGTAGGAGCAAATGCCGGCGCACTCGAAGGCGTCGTAGCCGGTGGGGGCCAGAATCCAGCTGTCCCAGCCGATGTCCTTGAACTCCACGTACAGGGACTGCCTCTTGCAGTGGTTCCCCTTGGCGTTGCGCCGTATGCGGGACGCCGTGTCGTAGATCAGGTTCGAGCGCATCTGGATGAGGTCCTCCTCGTCCGGGTCCCCCTCGTCCCCCCACGGTCCGTCCAGACCCAGGCCCACGTCGTTGTGCAGGGCCGGGTCGGCGGTCTCGTGGTCGATCATCTCGTTGAGCTCGCGCCGGTCGTTGCGGTGGTCGTTGCTCTGGTCGTCGGAGAAAACGATCAGCAGCGGCTGATGCCTGTCCTCCTGGCTGTTGTCTATCTCCATGTCCCCCTCGGGGGGTATCCCCTCTTGGGGGTCCCCCGCGCCCCCGGGGCCGTCGTCTTCGGAGATGCTGGAAATGTGCACCTCCAGCCGGTGGGTGGTGGCGCCCTCGGCCCCGCGCCAGCGCCGGACGGCGGCGGTGAGGTCGAAGGCCTCCCAGCCGTTGTCCGTGCCGTACACCTGGCGGGAGGCCAGCTCCAGCAGCTCCAGCCGCCCCCCGGCCCCCGCCGGCGAGCCCCCCCCGGCCGGCCTCTCCTCGCTGGCGTTGCCGGCCCGGTCGTGGGACTCCAGCTCGTAGACGGTGACCTTCCGGTCCACGCCGGCGTAGAGGTGGCGGTCGGTCTGGACCAGCGTGTAGAGGCGCAGCTCGGCCGCCGTCACGCGCTCGTGGCCGGGGACTGACACGTTGAAGAGGAGTGGGTGGCGCCTGACTCCTCCAACCCCCACAGCGCTGGGGTTTGAATCTGGAGAGGAGATTGAGAGTTAAAGGTTAGACTTCTTGCCCGTATCTCCATTTCGGCCCAACTGTTGCTCGGACACGCAAAGTGTGTCTGCTCATCCTAAAATGGAGAAAAAATTTACTCCTCTTCTTGATTCTGTTGCATGCCAGAGCAGACGAAGCTTTTTGGTACAGTCAGTGATTCACAGAGAATCGCTGACATGACTCAGAGTCCAGGATTTAACCGACTCAGCAATTGTTTTGCCTCTATACATAATCATCGTCCCCTCAGATATGAGATGTAGATGGTAAACATTAAGCTCTCTTTTTAGACCAGCATGCAGATGAGGATGATAATTGAACAGGGCTAATGAATTAAAGACAGCGTGGTTTTAATCTGTGTGATTTCAGAGCCGTACCTTCGTTTTTGAAGCTGCGGATGATGTTGGCTGTGGGCATGGCGGTGCGGTCGTTGGCGAAGCGGTTGTACAGTTCCATCATGTACTCGGGCGGCTCCTCCCTGGAGCTCCCGGGACCCGCGGCCGGGGGCCCCAGGCCCGAGAGGTTGAACGTCCTCAGAAACTGCTCCTTCAGGTTCTCCAGCACGCTCTGCGCGTCCACGCTGTTCTCCTGCTCCAGCAGCGAGGGGTCCAGCACCCCTCCATGGCCGTCCCCCAGCCCCACGGCGGGGCGAAGCCTCTGATGAGAGCCAGAGATGGGGCCGCACTCTCCGACGAGAGGCCCCCGGGGCAGCAGGGCGGAGAACAGCAGGAACAAAATCTTGGAGGTGCAAGTGGTTCCCGGCATAGAGACCCAAGTGCTCGCCATGAGAGAGATAATCGGCCGAACTCTAGTGTATGCCCTCTGTGGTGGTCTTTGGGTGAGCTCATGCAACAAGGAAGAAAAAGGTGGTCCCGGTCCCTGCCTGCGTAAGTCCGGGGGGAAATGCGGTGGCCGGCTCAGGTCAGTTCATCTGCGGCAGCTGGAGCGTCGCTGACCCTTTTCTCTGACCACCTCTGCGGGCTCTCCTCCAGATCTCGCAGCATTTATTCTCATGCACACCTTTTGAAGTCCTTTGCGACGGGGCAGCGGTTCCGGTGGCAGGGTGGCCGAGGCTCGTCTTTGTCTGCCCGACTCATCTCTGTTGTGTCCTCTCCTGTGTCCGTCTCTCTCTGAGCTCTCCTCTCTTCCCCAGCTCTGTCTTTCTGTCCCTTATCTATGATATGGTGGGCTCTGCATTGCTCTGTGCTTATGGTCTCTGTGTGGTGTGTGTGTGTGTGCGCGTGCATGCGTGTGTGTGTGTGTTAGTGTGTGTGTGTGTGTGTGTGTGTGCGTGCCTTCCCCTTAACTTTGTGTGATGCACGAGCGTGTGCGTTATCTCACAACTTCCTTAATGAGGGTTTTGTAAACACTGTCCTGTAGCCTCTTCCTTGTGGAAGGGCTATTTTGTTTGGGTGGGTGTTCCAGGGTTGATGCCCTCCATTTGTTTATTTGCTTTGAAAATGGTGCATTTCTGCAAGCGGCTGTCCGGGCTCGATTGGGCATTTCTTTCCGAATAAATATGCTGATATCACTGAATGTGGCGCGCTTTATCTAGCGGACAGCGTTGGGCCAAATGGAATTGAAAAGCAATGAGGTGTAGGGCCCTTAATGGGGAGGCACGGAGTTGCTCTAGAGAGTGAAAGAATGGAAAGAAAACGCCTTCTTTTGAAGTAGAGGAAGAAAAGGTTAGGATGGACAGCACAACACGGGATGACGCACCTTCGCAAGGTTTCCCCCGAGGGGCGCGCAAAGTTCTCTGAAAACATTCCTCTCGATTAGGGGGACAGCAACAAGTCAAAGGTGAAGTTTAAAGAAACCTGGCGACACAACGTTTTCCAACAACTCTGCACTGCACGAGCTCCACTGAATAAGCTGTCATGTGAGAAACGCAGGGCAGTCTCTGACAGAGCACATCAGGACACCATTAAAGAAGAAATTAACAGAAGAAAATCACTTTTTTTTTTTACACGACAGGCTCCATAAGTGGGGGAAACAAAGCACCCTCTGTCACATCTTTGTGTTGGAGGAGCTTTCTTCTCTTAATGGTTCTTTAGCTTGTTGAGGTCTGCAGCTTTGATTTTTGTCCAGCTCTCTGGGGCCCCCCCCCCCCACACACACATTACCCTCCATCAGGCTGAGCTCTGGACTCTGATGGACCTTCAGCTCCTTGATTCTCCTCTTTTTTTCAGACTTCCTGCTGCAGATCTGCTGCTGTGTTTGGATCTTTGTCCTGTTGGTGAGCCGGTTTGAGCCCAGCTTTCGCTGTGGGACACTCCCAGATCATCATCCCTCCCCCGCCGTGCTGACAGCTGTTTGCTTTCTGTACATTCTGAGCAAAAACCTCCACTTTGATCTGCTCTTTGTTCAGATTCAGCTCTGAAGACCTTGGTATTTTTGAACAAACAAGCCTTAGCCGGTCAGTCTTGTTCTAACCATTGTGACCTTTGACCTTTAACCTGCTAACTGAGTCCTGCAGACTCTGAGATGTAGCTGTTGGGTTTTTGACCTTGGAGTTCGAGGACTGATGGACTCCAAATAGTTTGGAAATGGACTTTTAACCCTTCGCAGAGCAATGGGCAGCAGCCTCCTCTAAGATCGCTGCTCATACGTTTCCTCCTTGGAGAGAATGAGCAGTTTCTTTCTACTTTGATCTGTTAATAATTTAATAAGGAAAGCCCGGCTGTGAGTTAGCCCACTAAGTCTTATGGAAAATACACTGGGGTTTTCACTGAATAAACAGAGAGTGTGAATTACCACATGCTAATGCTCTGAGATGTGTCTCATTAGGAAACCCAGTTCAGTGCTTTAGGCTGGACGATCGATTTGAAAACTCGACGTGGCCAGGCTTTGTTTTTCACCCGGTTGAACTGAATTGAATTCCATCATGCAGAGTCACGGCCGTCTGCTCTGACAGCAGCAGTGACTCACTGGCTCCGACTCAGTCAGGCACCTGAAAGCTCGTCCCGGCACACTGCCGTCCCTCATTCCTGAGCTTCTTCGTGTGACCCGCAGATACACTCCTGATTTCAGTGCGTCACAGAGATGGGAAGGAATGAGCTTTTCCTGCCTCTGCCACTCATCTGCCAGGCTGACAGTTGACAGACGTGCTGTTATCTGCTGCTTTGTTGAACTGCTGCCGCAGCAGACTATCACATCTTCCTGAAGGGCTTAAGAAGGCTCGATAGAGGCAAGCGTCCCCCCTGCACACACACGGCCGGGGCCCTCCATGTGGTCTGAATTGTGGGCCTGAGGCCGTAACAAGCGTGGATTTGTGGAGGCCGCGGCTGCTATTTTTGGACTGAACTCCTTAACAGACAGCGTTGTGCGCTGATACGCCGCTTTCCCAACTTTATGAATTCCATGTGTTTGCCTGGAGGCCGGAAAATGTCTTTAAAACCAACGTACTTCCAAATAACAGCAAAGTCACTGAGCGTTTAGTCCAGTTGCGTTTTAAAGCAACACTCATCCTGCTTTCGTCATCTTTGGTGGAACAAAAACGACAACGTTTGAACATTTTAAAACTCAGTTGTGCGATAATTGCTCATCCATTAACTTTCATGTGGAGTCATGTCTCCTGCCCACATGTTGAGTCACTATAAAGTTTTTTTTCTTAGAAAAAAAAAGGTTGCCTGAGGCTACCATCGGCTGCCAAAAGCTCCGCTATGTTTTCAGTGAATCATTATCTTTCCTTCTGATGTTACGTATTCATGCGGCATATGTTGGTTTGTGGCATGTGGGTGAAGACAGCTGTGTTCTGTGGCTCCGCCTAACTTATCCCTGAGAACAAGAAGTTCAGACCAGAGCCACAAATTCAAATTAATAAGACAAAAAATGCTTTAATCCTGCAACCACAGAAGAAAAACAGAGAGAGAGTTGGGAGCTTTGTGACGTGAAGTGATTTATAAAGCCAACATTTCCCTACCAACAGAAAAATGAAAGGCCGACGTTTAAGAGAAAAACATAATCTTTAATTTAATAGAGGCAACAGATGTGTACAAAGTTACCACTTGGTAGCGTGGGTAGTCTGTAAACATCTGGGTGCTGAGGAGACCAGCTGTTTGGACCTTTGTTAGATCCTCTGATCTAGTCATTTTATCCGCTCAAATGTCTCCTGTTTTGTATCTGAAATGTTTTCAGCGTGTGAAGGATCTGGACTTTGGACAGGTCAGTTCATGACATGGACCTGAATGAGAGCCACATGTGGTTTAGCATTAAAACAATACTGGATGTGTGCACCTTTCAGCAGTCATGGAGCCTTTCCAAGTCACCAGCTCCACTGGCTCTAATACACCCCCGCACCATCAGGAAACAGGCTTTGAACTGAGAACTGATAACAAGATGGATGCCCCCTCTACTTTTCCTAAAGACGGGAAAACCTTCACTTTCCTCAGAAAAATACTAATAGTTTGACCAGATTTGTCCATCTGAAACAGCACCATGTTGATATGTGGCTTCTGCCTCATAGGCCAAAGATGGCCTCAGTCCCTTTTTTTGCAAGTCAAAGTCATTATAATTTTATGGGAAACATCCTTTATGCATATACCTTATACCTGATGATGTCACCGACGTGATGATGTTTCTCTCCACCTACTTTTCTGGCTTTCATCATCATTTTTATATAATCTTTTCTCTTCAGCATGTTTTCTGTGTTCACAACATTTCTATTGCAATGTTGAAAACTTAACTGTCTAAATAAGTTTCACCCAGCTCTGCTTTTGCTAGACTCATATCAGCTCTGAGCCTTCACAATGAAGTCTGAGTAGTTTAGCTCACTTCTTTAATGTTTTACTGCTGTTTCACTTTAGCCAGATGTTAGAAAATGTGCACTCTAAGACTGTAATTATTAGACATTTCCTTCAGTTTTCTTCCTGTTGATGACAGAATATGTCCAGAATCAGCATTTCAGAGGACAAAAAGTTGAATTGAATCATTTTTAGCCTTTTTTTTTTCTTTTCCACGGTGAAAAAATGTATTGCTTTTATGGCTTTGTTGACATTTGACTGATATGAAATATCTATTACTTCCCTTTGGCAGCACAGAGTCCAGCTGGCTGAGGGGAGCATATCCTGTCCCACCATTTCATTTCTCAAACAATAACTTATCGATTCCAGGTGTGGCTCTTTCTTTTTGAGTAACAGCTACAGTAGTTAAATAGAGGCAGTTCATTGGCCTACACGTTGTGAAATGGACAGAATCCAGCATCAGCGGGATGAATCGGGACGAGCAGCTCTGCAGAAACGATCTGAGTCATAAATAAGGCAGAGGCATCAGCGGGTTCAGGGGATGGCCTTTAGGTGGGAGCTTGTTTGTCTCTTGTGAGGAGCCGCTGAACGTCTCTTTGCAGCTCCTCGTTGCGTTTCTGGGCCTCGTCCCGGCTGCGCTCGGCCTCCTTCAGGCTCATCTCCAGAGCGGCCACGCGGTGGCGCTCTGCCTCCAGAGCGGCCTGGAGCTCTGCCACTCTGGCCCTCAGCTCCTTGCTCTCCAGCTGCGGGCTGCCGGACACAGACACAGTCTTTTAGATTTCCATATCCAGCTATGTTGGCCTTTATTCTGCCAATAATGTTACTCTGACGGAGTAAATAAAGCCACACTCACCTGTCCGCGGGGCTCTTGGGCTCTTCTTTCTGTTCCGGCCTGCTGGCGGCTTTGTGCACCGGGTTGGTCACCATCAGGCCGTCCACACTCTTCTGGTGGACCAGGGAAGGTCTGGGCACGCTCGCCACCCGCTGGGGTTGGGGGCCACTCGCGGGTTTTTGTGACAAAACAGGAGAAGAGCCGGCGTTATCGCTCCCCTTCTGGGCTTTGACTCTCTCCTCAGACACCTTGTTGCTGGTCTGGGAGCCGCCGAAAAAGGAGCCCGAGCTCCGCAGGTCGAGGATTTTGAAGATGTCCTCGGACAAAGTCCCGCTCTTCTCCTCCGCGCCCTCCTGGATGCGGCTCCACCTGTTGAGGGCCTCGGCCTTGGCGGCCATCCCGGTGAGGGGGCAGTTGAAGGTGGGCAGGGTCTGCGTGCGCTTGCGGGGGCTGTCCGGCCACTCGTCCGGAGAGGGGGAGGCGGGCTCCTGCGGGGCTGCCTTTGGGCCGCTGTCCCCCCTGACCAGAAGAGGGCTGTCCACGTCCTCCTCCTCCTCCGGAGACTCAGACAGAGACGCGTCTCCCATCTGAGTCAAAAACATAACGTCAGGGACAGGGAGAACTCCACACAGAGAGGCCCCCCGGCCAGGGGGTTCAAAGGTCACCGTCCACCAAGAGGGCGCTGAGATTTATCCAAACATGCATAAAAACACAGCGTGTGCAGGGTGTGTTTGGCCTGAGCGCCTTAACTCTCCAGCACAGCCGGAACCCCCTGAGTCAAAAGCTCTGAGATGAACCGGGTTGTAATAACGCTCCAGGACGAGCTGGAACCACAAAAGCAAACGAGTCCTGTTGATTTATGGTGAGGCCGTGGGTAAAAAAGCGGCTAACTGGTGCTAAGGGGGTTATTTTGTGTTGGACAGACTGTCCAGAGTTGAGCTGGCTGTTTCTAAAAACAACAAGATGAACTGAAAATGTTCAGGCACATAAATACTGACCTGAAAATAAATAAAAAAACACAGCCAATTTTCAAAGGGCTTTTCTTTCAGGCCACTTTAAGAGACCACAAGAAGGTCTGACCGCTCGGAGGGAAAATCAACATAAATGAAGCCCATTTTAAATTAATTCAGCTCAGCATGAGGAGAGAAAACAAGCACTTTAACAATGTTTGCTTTTCTGAGTCAAAAGCGTATTGTCTCACATGGCTGGAAGAAACATGTCAAATTAAATCCCTTTAAAAACCAAAGTTTCTCATTTGTGTGGCTCCATATTTCTACTTTGCTTGGCTCTTGTGTAAATCAGGCCTCTGTGTCAATGTTTTCCAGAGCTAAAACGGTCTAATGAAATAATGTGTTTATTATAAGAGATAGAAACCTGATATAAAGACAAAACTCTGATGTTTTCTCATCATATTGTTGAATCATTCCTGAAACGGTGTCCTGGGGGTGTGTTTGAATGCGTTTTTTTGTCGGCCGTGCGGTTGCCAGGACGCACCTCTGCTGACTCCCAGCCCACAAACCTCCGGGGAGCGTTTTTCTGGCTCTCGGCCTTGCTGGAAGTAGACGAGGGGATCACGTCCTTGGAGAGAGGGAACAGAGCCTCATGCTGCCTGATCATCACCGTCATCAGCTTCTGGATCTGGGGAGTCGCTGTGAAGAGAAAAGGGGATGCAAAGCTCCTCTCTTCTACTCAACTTTGGGCTTTTGTGATGATCCGGTTCGAGTGGGGCTGCTCTCACCTTTCATCATGGTGAAGGGATCCTCTATCTGGGGCTTGAGCAGGTTGACTCCCATCACGGTGGCCAAGTTCTCTACGTTCATCTTGTTCACTTTGCAGTGACGCTGCACCTCGAACAAGAACCTGAGGACGGATTATTGGTCACGGCTGGAAAAACGATGGGCGGCGGGTCGCGTTTCACGCTGATAAGTCTGTAACTCACCGGCAAACGTAACTGAGGAGGTTGTAGTTGATTCTGGGCAGAAGAGCAACTTGCTTCTCCAGCATTTCCCAACCCTGCGAGGACCAAACGGTTTAGCCACCTCTGGCCCCCCCGGACGGAGACCCGCCGGCGTCCCCTTTCCGTCTGTACGCACGCACCTCTTTGCTGCTGGGGTCCATCTGGTTGGTGCAGTCCAGGAAGTCTTGGTACTGGGTCCAGGGCACCACGGGCTCAGGCAGCTCGCGCAGATACAGCTTGAGCAGCGACGCCACCGTGTGGACATCTGTGTCACTGAGAGATGGGTTGAGAGCCCACTGAGGGCCTAACGCTCATTATGAAGATTTCTCCTGAATCGAATGCGGCTCGCTAAAAGGTTAGCACCCTCACCCGATGGTCCAGGTGATGTTTTCCCCATTTAAAAAAAGGAGATGAGGCTGTTTTTTGTATCTCAAGTGGAAAAAAATCTCCTCAAACTTGGTTTCTACTTTGGAAAACAACACAAATACTTTTTGCTGCAACACTGCCTACATTTAGCGAAAATAGAAAGCAAAGAAAACAACCTCAAAATAGAGTTTCTTTTAATCACTTTAAACCTAAATCCAAAGACCTGATTTTGCCACCGATCTCTCATTGTTGCTCATTTATTCTGATGAGGGTTGACTGTGTTTTTCAGCCTTGCCGTTACCTGTTTGTGGGTTGTGTTTGCCTTTTTTTTATGGCTCCTGAAAAAGAGATCTGTGATTTCAGTGGGATCCTTTTTGGTCAAACGTTGGTTGAATGAATAAAGCTTAAATCTTCTCTCTACACCACCATTAGGGGTCAAACGGCACCACCACTCTCTCGGTTCCTTCCGTGACTCTCAGGTTTAGTAACACCGTGAAAGATTTTATCAATAAAATTAGGAAAAATCATGTTGGCCTGTAAGTAAAACATTACGTGAATTACTCTTACTCATGAAATCCCACATTTTTATTACAATTTTGGCCTGAAATGTGTTATGAAGTACCTTTTTTAAAAACTATATTCACTCTAAACTTGACGTGCATCAGAATATGGAGGCACAGGCTGGGTTAAATGGGAGCTCTCATGAACTGTGCTCTGTCAGAGGAGCTTGTGATGTTGAGTAATAAAAGCATCCTCCTGAGTGCCTGCCAGAACAGGATGTGGTATCGCCCTCAGCTCTGAGCAGACAGAAATTTATCCGCCTCTCTGTCTCCTTGTTTTCACTTGAAAGACACTCAGGCTACTCTTGTGTCCTTTAACAAAGCTCAGAGATAAAAAAAATCTATTTGAAGTTCAAAACAAAATGAAAAAATATGCTTTTTTCCTAGCATTTGACTCCACTTGAACTGAACTACTTCCTGTTCCTGTTCCGATACCTGGGGAATGAGGGCCTCTCGCCGGCGTCGAAGGCGTCCCTGAACTGTTTGACGGCGTTGTCCTGGCCCGGCAGGCGGAAGATGCCCTCCTCGTTCAGCCCGTGCTCTTTAATGAACTCCACACACTTCTGAACCAGGATGGGCACCATGTGCGGCCCGAAGCGCCGCTCGCCGGTCACCGTGTCCACCAGGCTCTTTCCAAACACTGGAACACAGGGCAAGGAGGCATGGTCACTTCAACAGCATGTGCTTAAAAAAATTATAATAATTCACAAGACTCCCCAGAGATGAACTCTGTCTTTTTTCTTCAGGGTTTTGACACAGGGACCTACTGGGTTCTGCAGGACCGGCGGCCTGTCTATCTCTACAGAATCTGCCCCCGTTGTGTTCCCCTTTTTGCTGTGCGTGCGTGTGTCGTGTGCGTGCGTGCGTGTGTCGGTGTGCGTGCGTGGGCAGCAGCCCGTGAGAGCGCACACATGCGAGGACAGACTCAGCGATCTGTTCGATTCTAAATCTCCTGAACCTGCTCTGCTCCGTCTCTGTGGGCCCGGACAGGTTTTACGACCTGAGGAGCATAACTGCTGACTCACCGCTTCTGATCCAGCTGCCCTCTAGATGGACTCAACCTGAAGGAGCCCTTTCAGACATCGGCCGGCCAGTTGGAAAGTGGATTTGCATGTCTAACCAGCTGGGTTTCCACGCCGTTTATTTATTTATTTTTGCTGACTGGTTAAAGGTGAGCGGATAAAGCGGTGCACAGTGCTGCTTTGGGTTGTGAGCATGCACATGAAAAATCAATGTACCCGCATATAGGCTTCTGACTTTGGAGTAGCTTTTCCGTACACCTCGTGCAAAGCCACAGCCTGGTGTGCAGGAGGAACCTCTCCAGGATTGTTGCTGAGTCATGCTCAAGCTCAGCTGCCAAAGCGGTGCAAAGTTCTGAACCCACCTCCACTGGCTGGTACCCCGATGACTCTGCGCAGCGTGCGGACCCAGTCCTCCAGGTCACTTTGGGAGTTTGCCATGAACACATAAGGGCATCGCTCCCTGTCCCCAGTTGTGCCTTTATAAGGATGATTTTTTTTAAAGAAAAGAAAAAATAGAAAAAAGTAGAAAAAAAGGGAAAAAAAGGGGAAAAAAAGAAAATAATAATAATAATGATGATTTAACTAAATAACAAAGAATTGATCATGACAGTTAAAGCAAGTCCCCAAACGGAATGCTATTGATTTTAAAGCTCCTTGTCCAAACACCTCCTTATTGAGAACTGATTTTCTGCTTACGTGGTATAATCTCAAATAGGTGCTTCCCGGGGTCGTCCGGGTTAGAAGGGAGCTCTGTAACTTTGCCGAAGCGCAGCTGGATGACTCCCTGCAGACCAAAAGCAAGAGATAAAACGACCAACACAAGTTTAAATCAGCAACCTCTCAAGCTAAGAACTAACTGGTGGTTACACCAGAAAGCCGCCACTGAGATGAATCATGCATTGTTGAACTGATAGAGAGAGGCCGTTCTGCCTGTGAAGTGACTGCAGGTGCAGAGGCACTGTGCCCACAGCCTACTCATTTATGATGTGTTTTTCCATGAAAAAAGTCTGAAAATAGAGGAAAAACTACATCTTTTGGAGGAGATGCAATTTCCATCCAGTAATCCTGAATTTTAATCTGTCGCATCACAAATATTTTTTCATGCTTTTTAACCCAAATGGATCTGTTATATAGCATTTTGCAGCTTTTGGTTCTGTGTTTTCTTGACGTGCATGAAGCAGCTGCATATTCTGACTCCTGCTTTGGATCTTGGTTTGAAAGTTACACCAGAAAATTGGGTGTTAATTTTAGCTTTTGGCCTCCACCTACGGTTTTGGGATGAGCACCACTGTCTCGTCACTCATACTGTGCGAGTTTGTTGACATGTAGAAGACCCAAAAAGCCTAAAAACAAACATTAAAATGTCAAGCGGCCATAAACCAAAACGGGGGATAGCCGGAATTTAAAGTTTCAGGTCGTCGTTCTGCCAAACGAGTCATAAGCACAACGTCTGAGTCTTTTGGGCTGACTTTATTCGTATCCCTGCACTTTGAGTAAACACAGATTTAGTCTGCAATAAAACATGTTGTTTTGACAGGTTGCTTTTGTTTCCGGGCGTAGGAAAAACGAGTCCAGAGGATGCCGCATGAACACTGAATGTGGATCAAACTGAAGACAAGCGGTGGGGAAGATGCTTTCCCAGCAGGGACACCGCAGTAAAAACACTGGAATTATCTCCTCGGACTTCCGAGTTCAACGTCTGCCAGCTTTCCTGTGGAATGACAAGCTTATAATCACAATTTTCCCTCTAGTTTTTGGCTGCAATTGTCACTCAGACTCAGCAGCTGCGGTCATTTCAGTTTCATTATTATTCCGATGATTAGGAGCCTGACCTCAATACCACTGAAAAATGTAAACTTTTTCCATGAAACTTTTGAGTTTCTCTTTTCCTGATCACCATCTTTTGAGAGGCTTGCCCACATTGCTGCCCCCCCCCCCCCCCCCCCCCCCCCCCGGGGGGCCCCCGCCCCCCCCACAACCCACCAAAAACAAAAAACCCCCCCCCCCCCCCCCCCCCCCCCCCCACAAGAGTGGAACTAAAGTATCATAACACAACTGAAAACTGAAAACTCTCCTGCCATCGACCTCATTAACCACATTAACAACTAATCATGGAACAGGAAATGTGCAGAGTGAGCTGCGCAGCTCCTGTGTGATGATTAGAAATAATAAATTCCACATTTCTTGTTAATAATAATGATGACAAAACAGATTATGGCTTTAAGTTTTTAACCTTTTGAGGTTTTTACACCACTTAGTGTGTGTCCATGTAAGAGAGAGAATGGCTTTAATGGTCATCCTTTACCTGTAAGTTCATGTTCGGAAGCAACATCATTTCAAAGTAGCACTGTAAAAAGCCGAGGCGGCATTTTTCCCCAGACCCTCACCTGGACGGTGCTCTCCTTGTCATCTTTGAAGTAGGTTAAGGTGCTTCCCTTCAGCACAAAGTAGCGCTGCTGCCAGTTCTTCACCAGAGACCTCTGCTGCTTCTTCAGCCAGCCGGCCTTCAGCGGCCGCTCCATGGAGCCGGAGGAGCGCGGCGAGCCCGAGCCGGGGGCTCCCTCTCCGGGGACCACGCTCCTGGATCGAGCTGCACAAACCCCCACAGTCCAGTCAGTTGGTGGAAGCCTCATCGACCTGCCGGCAGCCCGGCCCTGAAACACTATTAGCACCAGAACGCGCAGGGCACTTCCTCTTTCTGTTACAAACCGGCATCGGCCTATCAGGGCCGAGAGAGACCTTCTCACTTGTCGGCTATTTTTGTTTCCAACCTATTCAGGCTGAGAGCAAGCCGCCGGTTTTGGCTGACCGGTTTCCTGTGTAGAGGGCGGCTGTGATTGTAGCTGTGGAAACTGAGACTAAAGGCAGAGGTCACACACACCGAACCCGTGCGGAAGTGCTTTTTCTTTTGACATCAAACCCCTTTTTTTCTTTGGCGGCCTGAAGGCCTGGGGAAAGAGAGGAGTTGTACGTGGTGCGGAGAAGACTCTCAGGGCGGCGGGGGGCGGCCGAGATAACCGGATTCAGACCAAACCCTGTTTCTCAGGGGCTCTGAAATTCCCTGTGTCTTCCTCAGCGAAAGATGACAGAGCGGAGAAAAGAAGAAGAAGAAGGGCCGCTCTGCAGTAAACAGGAAGTTGTCACATCGCCGCCGGAGGCCCGCAGAAACTTTTTGAAGGTCTCCACCTACAAAGCCCAGAGCCCCTTTGGTCTCAGGGAAGCAGCACCACACTTCCCTGATCGGGGGGAAAGTTAAAAGGCTGCAGAGCTGCCGACCCCACACACACAGATGCTGATGTAATGCCACACACACCCTGCCAGCAGACAAGTCCCACAGCTGGTTCACAGGCATTCAGAAAGAAGAGACATCAAGAAGAAAAGAGAGCAGTCCACAGAGAGAAGCGTCCAGCTCCAGAAATCTCCCCCGATCAATTAAGATTAGCAATTCTTTATTGAATGTGTTAAATCCCATAATGGAAAGTAGAACCAGAAGGTGCATTAAAGTCTTAACGCTCTAATCCACAGATACACACAGTGAAATCTTTTGTATCTTTTGTAAAAAGGACTTCTAAGGACTTCAGACTAAAAAAAAATTGAATTTTCTCTGTACTTTTTCTTAGATCAGGCTTTGAAGGGTTCATCGGACAAAAAGAAGATACTTAACCTCCTGAGATCCTGCGCCCTCATATGAGCACGTTGAATTTTTGCCGTTCTTTACCATCATACCTACATTTTATTTTAAACTTTGACCTCTTGGCCTCATAGACACAATCAGACACAAATGTCCGAAATCCAAAATAAAATGGTTTTATGTATTTTTAACTAATCGTGTCCTTATTGTGTAATTAACATTTTGTGATTAAGTCTTTTGGACCTTCAGAACCAAACTGAAGAGAAAAAATTTAAATACACAGATATATATGTATTAGATACAAAGACAAACCCACTGTGCCTGAATAAAGAAAAACTACATGTACCATGACAGAGTCAGTTATTAAACTCAGTAGGTCCCACTGATCTGGGAAGAAGCAAATATCTACACAAGATAAAAGCATGGGTCTCAAGAAGTTAAAATATCTTAAGTGCTCAGCTGCATTTAAGGCCAAAAAAAGCCATCCTTGTCTTACTCAGGAGCTTTTTCGAGACGCTTTTTGCATTATTTTTTTGGGGTGAAGAACAGGGAGATGCATAGAATTAGAAACAAAAGGTTTGACCCATTTGAGTCTAACACTTTTTAGATGCATTATGCTGAGGCATTTATTAGCTTGACCTCATATGATGCTGAAGGCTCTGCTGGGTGTGCTCAGTGCTGGCTCTGGTTCCTCTTTTCTATCTTTCTGTGACCCATCGGGGGATTCCTTTGGCTATTCTTTTCCATAAGCAGCCACAATACACAAAGGCCTGGTGAGCACTAAAATCGAGGCAAATCTGATGTTTTCCAGATCTTTTTATAACCAACTGCACCCAAACTGAGATGCATCGTTATCACAGATCTTTCACTAAGGGTCTCACTTTGATGACAGTCATTGGACGTATGATGTGGGTGCTCAAAAATAAAGAAGCCACCTGCTGTGAGTATCTGACCACCTTTGTTTCCACCAATGCTGAACTGCTCAAAGACCGTTTTTCTATTCAATGTTACCAGAAAAGAGAGAGCACCTCTAAAAATCTGAGGGTTGCTGCTCAGGAGCCTTCAGGTGTGTGTGTTCACACAATGAAGGGTCATGAGGCCATTTCCAAACTATTTGGAGTCCTTAAAGCGGAATACATCCGGGATAGCTGTAAATCTGCCCAGGAGTGGACGTCCCAGCGAGGTCACCCCAAAGGCAAACACCCAATAACCACAGCTCAGACGCTACAGGCCTCAGTTTGTAGGTTAAAGGTCAGCAGAGCTGCATCTGAACAAAGAACAGAGCAAAGTGGAGATGTTTGCTCAGAATGCACAGAAGCCAAACAGCTGTTAGCACGGTGGGGGAGGGATGATGATCTGGGATTTTTTTCTGTCCTAAAGAGCCCCGAACTGTAAATCATTACCCAAACAAGTGTCCCAAGCCAGTTGCATCTCTTTCTTGTTTATGAGGACACCACCTCAGCCTCTCAGTGTTTCTAACTGCTCATGTCAACACATTTAGCTACAAAAAACGGATTAATTCAAACGTATTAATGATCTCAAACAAACTTTTCTGAAAGACAGACTTTCTAATGTCAGGTAACACCAAATATGATTATTTGGTGTTAGCTTTATTATTATCATGCTCAGGAAAGAAGGTCCCATTTGGTGGAAAAACTCTCTCTCAAAGATTGTTACTATATTTATATATCCAAACACAGCAGCAGATCTGCAGCAGAAAGTCTGAAAAAAGAGGAGAATCAAGGAGCTGAAGGTCCAGAGCTCAGCCTGATGGAGGCTGTGGGGAGGTTTCAGAGAGCTGTGCAAAGACCAAAGCTGCAAACCACAATGAGCTGAACATTGCTAAGAAAGTACAAAAACATCGTACCGTTTGTTTTACAAACTTCTTATCAATAACTAAAAATATATACGCGGGTCACTTTCTCTGATGCTGTATTCAAATATCAAGACCGACTAACCCAAGAACCAGATGGAAGTATTGACGCAAACTCTGCCATTTGATAGATGGTGTACTTTTATTTTTTGGGATAGCTATAGTTTGACATTTGAAACTGACATGTGCCTCAACTATTCAATCTGTACAAAGACAGACATATATATATATATATATATATATATATATATATATATATACATACATACATACAGTACATATATTTACTGTATACATATATATGTATATAGATACATAGGCACAGGAGTACATGGCAGCCACAGAGTCAAATGTGGTTTGCAGAAACTGAGCTCTTGCATCAGTTTCCTGCTGAAAGCCTGCATCACTCTAACTAAAGGCAACAAATCAATCCCTTGTGATGGTCCGATTTACATCCAAAGATTTATAGATGGTTCCCAACTCTAAGGAAAGTCTTACTTACAGCTGAAAGAATATGAAGATAGCACGGCTCATACGAAGCAGTCAAATAAATGTGCTTCAGAGGGCTACTTCCCCCCACTCTTCTGATCATTCAGTACCACTGATGGCAAAAGCTGATTAACCCTGAATGTGGACGATGCAGAATGCGAAAAACAGAAAGGCTGAGCTGGGAAGCGTTCACTCCTGCCTGTGTGAGTTAGTTGTTGCAATGTCTTTGCCATGCAACCCTGAGAGGAAACACAGCATGTTACTGCTCGAAGTCCTCATCAGAAACTGTGAAATGTATGCTTGCATACACACACACACACACAAACGTGTCTGTTAACCTCAGAAAGTTTCATTTAGAAGACCAGATATTGAGTTTTGTGTCAGAGAACAATGATTCGTGTGCAATTGAATGGTCTAAATTCAGCTACGGTTTATTAAGCGGGTACCACTCTCCACCACCAGTGAGATCAGAAAACCCACACTGAAAAAAAACGAAACACACTCGTTCCTCTCCTGCGATAGCACAGAATGTGTCCCTCATTCATGCTGGATAGACAAAACATGCCAAGACAACCGCTTCAATAACAAAACAACAAAAAAAGACCTTATTGAAGTGTCAGAATTGCTCTTTTTGCTCTCAGATGAAACCCCCCCTGTGGTGCCTAACTAGCAGTGAGGAAGCTCGGGCGGTCAGTGAATGCAGCACCAGCATCACCTTACCTATTCGAGATGTCTCACTCTTGAAGGTGCTGAAGTCCCAGTTGCGAGGTAGTTTCAGAGACATTATCTTTCAGCACAGGTCAGGGCTTCAGTCCACACATGCACCCCGCCTCAGCAGGCGCACACACACACACACAGGCACACACACGCACACACACACACACACAGGCACACACACACACAAACTAAAGCAATCGCAGATCACACTTCCTACTTCCTGTGACTTCAATTTTCTTCTTTTCTGCAGATCTTGAAAACGTGTCGCTTCATGCTGCCTTTACTTCCATGTTTGTACTCGCTCTGATAAGAGAGCGGCTTAAACAGCCTCCAGGGTGATTTGCTCCGGGGATTCAGAGAGGAGAGTCTTCAAGTGACTAAGGCTCACCTGCTGGCAAAAGCGTCTTCTTAGAGGAAATGGCTGTTACCTCTTGGTTTGACTGTCAATGAGCATGTTGCTTCACACTTCCTGCTGCTGTGGGAAGGAAAAGGAGACTTTTCTCAGGTAAAAGTTGCCCCCCCCCCACCCCCTACTCCAGGGCCAGGCATCCCACTGGCTACAACGGTGGTTAAAGAAGTGGCCGATTATTAAAACCGATGCGCAAATATCAACTGAGCACATTTCAAAATGGGGAAGAAGCCCAAAAGGGAAGAAACGAGTCATACAGCAGACCACATGGTACGTTTTTTTAAACACCTTTAATTTTCTCCGAACCAAGGCAAAGCACATTTCAGCATCAAAGTATACAGCTTTTTCTCCAGACAATCGCAGTTAATGGATATATACTGAAATAATACAGATTTGTAAAGAGAATCTATGACCACAAAGTAAAGTGTCCACAAAAGACAGTGCACATGGGACGGACACGACTCGCATACATTCCTCCTTTTAGAGGTCCCGAAGCACAACAGCAAGGTGGCACCACAAGGATTTAAAGAAAAAGAAAAAAAGAGCCAGGTTTCTTTGCTTTTTTTAAGTTCCCCCCTCTTACTGGGCACCCTCCTATTGGTCTGGAATGTATCAGGCGGTTGGGTCAGGAGCAGCCGGGCGGCCTGCAGGGCCTCCAGCACGCTCTAGTGGCCGTATTCAGCCTGAGAGACGGGGTCAGGGCCCCCTGCGGCCGCCGGGATGCCCTGACTCACATTTCTTTCGGGGAAATCGCTCGAAAACGCACAAAACAGGAATTCAAGCTGACTCTTCTCGCAGCGCGACGCAGAAGTTGACACATGACAGTTACAGGGAAAGAGCCTAAAAAAACACCCAACTGCACTACAGTCACAGCAAGAAAATACTCCTCTGCTACTTAAATACCTTTACCTATGTGGCAATGACAATAATTTAGATATTTCTCATACAAAAAAATACTAAAGAACACTCAACAGGCTTCTAAAAGTCTTCTTAATCAATGTACAATAGAGTAACTTTGAGAATACTGAAACAGCGTAGAGTAAATAAATAACTGAAAAGAAACTTGTGATCAGCTCGGTGTGAAACGATCGGGAATGGCACCACGTCAGAAAATACGAGAGGGGGAGGCATTCAAACGCGGGCAGGAAGTGCTGCTCACTTTGAATGTCTGACAAAGGATGGAGCGGACTGAGGAACCTGAGGACAGTTCTGAAAGAAGGGAATCTTGACGGGGGTGTGTGAGGCCTTCGCTTACTGCACGCAGGCTGTGTTTGGGCTGGACGGCGGCCTTCAGCCTATCACTGCTCACGCCATTTTGTCCTGTATGCAGCACTCAGCAGTCGTCTGGCTTTTCAAAATAATTTTATATCCAAGGACAAACCTAATGGACCCATAACTTTCTCAGATTATGCACAGGACTCGCTCCTCTGCCTGTTCTTTGTCTACTTAACCGGACAATTCAACTTCAGGCTTCATTTACTCCAAACTGCAGAAACAGTTTCATTTAAATCCTCCGGGATGACCTTTATAGCTCTGTTAATAGACAGTGTTGGCAGTTTGAAAGAGCTGCAGGACCATAAAATCCCGATCAGACTGAATAAAAAAAGATCAGAGGCTGACTCATGCAAACCATCCACCCTCCACCTCTCTAGTGTCTTAAACCAAACCTGGAAACCAATCAGGAAAAATCTAAAGTAGATTCTAAAAGGTGAGGTACTCCTTGTCACAGGGACTGACACTTCTGTTAAAAATAATTAATTCATCTTTAAAAATCCTGTCATATAGAAAAGAACCCGACAGTAAAGAGGCTCTGGCTTATCTTTTACTACCAAAGAAAAGACACACTTGGCACAAATTCAAAAGAAAAAGGAGAATCTACAGTAAAATCTCTCGGAATAAACAGTGTGCAGACAGTAGCTGAGTGTTTATCAACCTGAAGAGACAAAGAGCCAAAGTTTAAGCCCCCCCCCACTTCATATCTGACGCTGGGGTCAGAGTGACCGCTGATGACCATGAACGCTGTGCACTGTGACACAGAAGCTCTGAAAGGCAGTGCAGACGCCCCCGTAACTCGCCTTGAGGTAAAAAGTATAAAACAAATCGATTAAGCCTAATTACTGCCTATTAAAATAGAAAATTAAGAATCACTGTGATAGCTGAGACTCCTTTTGAATCGTTTCTACAAAAGTTAGGAGCAGGAGAAGTTGTGGTCATCAGGCTGAAGGTGACATCTCTAGATTCATGATTAAACACCAGTGAGGGCTAAAGCTTAGTAAACGCCAGAGTCCCATCAGCTGCCCGCGTACACATGACCCTCTGACCCATGAAAATGTTTCAGACCAACTCTTTGAGAGAAAAAAAGAAGCAAAGATCAGTAACTCAAATGCGACGGTGATCACAGGCTGACTGAAACCGACGTCAAAGTGGAACAGAAAACAGCAAAATATAAAAACCATCTGTGCATAAATACAAAGGATCACAACAAAGGAATTAAAAGGGAATTCTCTGAGGAGGCCGGCGCTGAAGTAACATGGGGAGTAAGGGAGGGGGGGGGGTTTAGAGCAGTGCAATCGTGTGAGAAAATATACAACAGAGTTACGACACGGCTAATACAGAGAGGGGGCCAGTGTAAACGGGCAGAAATGAGCATCGGGACGACGGCTCCCAGACCCAAATGAAACGGAATGACCCACAGCTGTCCTTTCTGTTCCCGCCTTTCCTTTAGCCGACGCATAACCCCCCCCAGCCCCCCACCCCCCGCCGGCCCGAGGGCGGCTCTAGGCGGCGGCCTCCTCCAGGGCTGGCAGCAGACCCTTCTCCATCAGGTGGGCCTTCAGGGAGTTGAAGATGTGGAGCTGCTGGTCAGCGCGGAGGGCCAGCAGCTGCTGGATCACTTTGCTCGGGTTGGGACCCCTGAAACAAAACGTCACACAGAAATGAACTCAGAGTAAATTTACTGCAGAATACATGAGCTCTAACTCAGAGCTGGATTAATCGGATTAATCGAAGTGAGTATGGGCTACATCTGAGCACCAAACCCATAAATAATCAGCCAGTTTTAGGCCAACAGAACTTGTGTATCTCACAAACTTTTCCACTTTCTTTTGCTGGACTCAAACCTCAGGTTTCACTTGGTAAATTCCCCACCCCAAATCGAGAGGCTCAGAGCGGTGGCTGTGACTGCCTGTACCTGATGAAGCTGGCGATGTAGACGTTGACGAACGTGGCCATGAGGTACTGGCAGTCAAAGCGGTCCATGATGCCACCGTGCCCGGGGATAGTGTTGGCAAAGTCCTGAGAGCAGAAAAATCCAAACAAGGGTTGATAATCTGAATGCATAAAGCAGGACATGATTATAAAACAACAGGCACACGGGCTGGACTCATGACAGTGGGCTCACTATGCAAATACAGCCCAGCGTCTTTAAAATCCACAGTTCTAAACTCTCGGACAAGTTTAGTGACGTATTTTCCGCACTATAAGGCGCACCCAACAGCCATACATTGACGGTGCACCTTATAGTGTGGAAAATACGGTAACCATGACATGTGAGTTACCTCCACATGGTGAGGGGACTTGGACTCATGTGGAGTCCATCAATCTACAGAGATTGGGGATACTCAGGATAACCGAGTCAAATCTACAACATGAGAGAGGAGTCTAGGTGCCTCAGCGGTCCAGTCAGAGTCCAGACCTCCGCCCGACACGTGGACAGTCAGGGTACAGGTCCCGAGAGCCGGTGGTTACACCCCACCTTTATTTTAAAAGCTCTCTTGAAGCCGCTGGCAAAGAAGCCCCCAAAGGGTCCCACGATGGAGGCGAAGGAGGAGAGAGCGATGCTGTGGATCTGGAAGGGGTAGAGCCGGACGGTGGTCTGTGGACACAGGGACAAACATTCAACCGTTTTACAGCATCCAGCGAAAAAATCTGAGGGGAGCCTCACAAAACGTAACTTTCCAGAGCTATTTTGCAATAAGTGAGCAGGTTAGAAAACGTTGAGCACTGCCTGAAAAAGCCCTGAATGTGTGCGTTTCTGTAAAGTATGTGAAAAGCCTGCAGATGGTCCTACCCATCCTGTGAGGGAGTGCAGCACGCTGGGCAGGGCGTAGTTCTGCAGCTGGAAGAGCTCCGACGGCTCACAGTCCACCTGGAAACTGTTGGAGTCGTTGTTGAACTCCACGGGACACACGAAGTAGCGGTAGCCGGCCATGACGTAGGACAGCTGCGGGGGGGGGGGGGGGGGGCGTGTTACTCTGATCCACGCCACCGGTTAAAGACTTTAATGAGGGGCGCTTCTCACCATGATGCCGAACACAATCGTGGCGAACAGTCCGCCGATGAAGCCCTCCCAGGTCTTCTTGGGCGATAGCTGCAACAGCCGGGAACAAAGGTCGGACCAAAGTGGGACCAAAATAACCCCCAAACCGCCAAAATCAGAGCACCGACCTTGATGAGGGGAGTTCGACCGAAGAAGAAACCAAACATGTAGGCCATGATGTCATTACAGATCACACAGGAAATGGGCACGATGAACCTATTCAGACAAAGGGGATACATTTAGTCGGTTCGAAGCACCGATGCTGCATCAACGGGAGAAAGCTCCGGACCACCTCACTGCAAAATGGTTCGACTCCCCCTCATGTGTGGGCAGAGCCTCAGGAGGTCCACTCACCAGATCATCCCCTCAAACAGGTTGTGGATGATGAGGTGAGACTGAGTCACCACGATCAGCAGCGTCACGTGGGTCCAGCCGAACTGTGGGGGACAATTCGCTCGGGTCAGCGCTGCTACCGGGTTTGAACGGAGCCGTCTTCCTCACTTGCAGGCTAAACTCTCTGTTCAGTGTGCACCGAGTGCTTAATCCATACACGAGATCTAATATTGTAGCTTCCACATGACACACATTTGGACCTTCGGCGTCATTACTATTAGAGTAATGACTGTCCCACTTTCCGTCTGGCCTGCGGGCCCGTTTGGTAGCCCGTCCTATAAATAATCCGGTCTTAAGGGAGGCCGCCAGCAGGGCTCCCACTTACCATGTAGAACTGAAGACGGTAATGCTTCTTCACCAAACTCAGCACAAACATGCAGAAACCTGGAGAAATGTTGAGGAAAAAGAAAAAAGCGTCAACACGGAGCTGCTCATTCAAAGTGAATTGCCTAAAAAATTAGGCCATCTTTGGTCAAGATGATTACATTTAGCAGCGGCCTGTTTCAAACAAAGCCCAGTTTGTAGTGCAGGGTGCAGCTCGGGGCTGCTGGAGCCGTTTTTCACATTCCAGACGTTCAGAAGGGACATTGCAAAGCAAAAATACAGAAAGGGGATAAAAAATGGGCGGAACTACTCAAACTGATGGGCAAATTGAATGTTTTTCTGCCCAGAATAGACACCACACAGTGAATCCTGCACAACGTCAGCTGACGACGGCTTTCTGCTGAGAAAACCAGGATGCTCAACGTCACCTCGAAACAAGTAGGCAAGAGGCGGAAACCCCGGGTGCTTCCTTACTCCCCCACATCCTGTCTGGTTTCAGTCAGAAGCTACTAACTGACATCCTGCACAAGTCGAACGCTTCAGCTTGCATGGGGACTTAAAATAACCCGTTTAGAAGCGGTTCAGCACTGGGCAAGGGTTTGAGTCTGCACATCCATTTGTCTGATTAATTGGGGTTGACCTTACATGCAGGGATTGTTTCAAATATTAAAAAGGTTCATACAGGGAAAGTGAATGAACATTAGGTCCGTTTGGCCTTTTTTACAATGGGATGGATGCACTCTGTCACACTGGTAACTGTCTGAGTCAGCCAGAGGTTGTTTAAATTTCTCCTCTGAGTGCGGATAACCGCACATATGGAGTTCCCCAGAGCTCCATTCTGGGGTCTCTTTTATTTAATATTTCCAGGACTTTGATTTTGACTTTCGCTGTGCTTTGCCTCTGTGTCTTAGATCCAATGATTAGTTCAATAGTTATATGTTCTATATAAAGTACATCTCCCTGACCTAACTGAGCCGACTCTGTCTGGAATCACCAGAGACAAACAAACGGAAGATGGACGATGATGTCCATTTGAGCTGATGAGGCACCAACGGTATGTAAAAAAAAAAAGGGTCATTTAAAAACGTGAATAAAGACAGTACAAATAGAGTGAATTAATGAACACTTTCCAACGGAAAAAACAGAAGGTGACAGCTTTGAGGGTGGATGTCACCGGCTCCTCCTTTGGCTTGGCGGCCTACCTGTGAGGTAGAGGGCGAAGGAGATGAAGCGGTGGTATTTGCTGAGGATACGAAGAGGCTCTTCTCTTTGCACCAGAGAGAAGAAGTAGTCCGTCACGGTCTCGCCGTAGAAGAAGTAGTTCACACACAGCAGGAAGTACCTGTTGGGCAAAAGGTTGGAGCAGATGTTCGAAGCTGGGAAAGCAGCTAATCTGGCTGAGTTCAAAATGCCTGCAGCAAACCTGGAAGGCCAACGACTGGTCTGTCGGGTTCAATTTTGCACATCGATTCACTTTTCTCTTAAAAATACAAATAGAAAAGCACTTCTGCCATTTTGTATCACCGATAACACATAAAAAGTGTTTTTTCCAGGGCTGCTGGCATGATGAATGTCAGGATTCTGCTCAGCAAAACACTACAGTCACAAATCAAACAGAGCTGGTGATTCACAGTGTTTCTGCCATTATTTGCTGATTGGAGTAATAATCTACACACTACAAAAACTAGTGAACAACAGACCAGAGAACAAACCATAGGACGTCTGCAACAGAACAAACATGAGACATCACAATGAGAAAGAATCGAGAGTGGCTCTTTCAGGGTGCGTCTGCATGGTGGTGTCCTCACCAGCTCAGCGTCCTGAACCAGGGCAGGTGGTAAGAGTGGTACACGCTGTACCCGATCGTGATGATTTCTTGGAAGCACTTGATCTGGACGCAGAGGACCTGCACAGAGAAGCGCCGCATCAGAAAGGGGGTCAAACTTGCGTGTCCCACTGACACAAAACGGCTCGTTTCAGGGGATTTCCTGCAGAAGCGGGGACTGGAATGCTGCCCGTTGTTCGGGGCCCGGCTTGTACTCACAATCATCATAAGCACCATGGGGCCCAGGTAGATGATAATGAAGAAGAAGGAGATCATGGCTAGCGTGAGGATGCCGCGCACCCACCAGTTCTTCCATCTGCGGAGAGACGAGTGACATGCAAACATCAGTAAGAGAGGCCGAACGTTTGGACATCAGTAAAAGCACAAACGCTCCTGAATCGTGCCCCATATTTGTGTGGAGTGAATCACATCTCCTCCACATGAGGATGGAAACCTATAAGGAAAAGAAGCTTTTGTGCAGATATTACAAAGATAAACTCGCTTTATGGCTGCTTCGTGGTGTGTGGGGGGGTCCTTGGGGCTGCTGCTGAGGGAAGAGGGTGGAGCGGTATGCAGCCTCACCATGGGTGGGGTGGTTGTTGTTTATAAAAGGAAACAGAGTCTATTATTTAGGTGTTTCTCACTAAATTCTGTCACAAGAGGAAGATAAACTGGGGCGAGTCGGGCGTCCAGAGGCAGCACGCTGAGGTTGGAGCTAATCGTGGGAGGGACACCACCCTCTTCCACATATTTCTGAGACCCAAAAAAGCCCTGCCGCAGTCAGGTAGCAGAGCCTACAGCAGTCCTGGACGGTTTGTTGTGAACACGTATAAATATTTTCCAGCAAACGTCTAAACACACACGGTACTCGTCGTGAGCCGACCGGTTCGCTTACCTCGAAGAAAGCCCGGAGAGGGCCTTGTTCAGCACCTCGGGGGTGTCGTCAGGAGGGACCGGCACCTCCGGGACTCCTGAGTCCACCTTGGACTCACTGTCCGACACCCCATCCTTTTCCGCCTTCAGCTCGCTGTCTGAACCCTGAAACAGAGACGAGATGTCAGCTGATTGGCTCATTCAAAATCAGAGCTCGATTGCGTCACTTTTTCCTGGAGGCCTAATTTTTTTTATTGCGAGACCATTATCTTATTTGTTAGTTACTTTAACACACAGCCTGAGCCCTCTCCAACCAGCTGTGTGTCCTTCCTTTAAGGAGTCTTCAGGAGCAGCTCTCCAGGCTTCTTGAAGGACTTCCCAAAGCTCTTCTTTGGATGTGGGCTGCCTTTGGCTGCGTTCTCTGTCAGATGATCCCGCAGTGCTTCATAATGTGGAGCTCCGGGCTCTGGGGAGGATTCATCCCTCCATCAGAGCTGCTGCCACTGATTTTCAGTCCACTTCCTGAGTCCTTTGGCAGAGCTCAAGGTTTGGGCCAACAGGAGATGATCAGCTGAAGGTCCAGATGCATCTCCCAGGTCTTTTGCTGGATTTGTGTCTTTTTTCGCGGGGGGGGGGGCAGCTTGTTGTTGTAAAATTGCTATTTTCTGTCCGTTAAACTGTTTCATCTCTGGCAGTTCTGGTAGAACTCCACACTTTGGCTGAGATCTGAACCGACTACTCAGAGGACCCGGGTTTTGAGCAGAGTAATTGATATTTAGCAGCACAAATATTGATCGCAGTGAGCAAACAGCATCTGGTTCGCCGGCCGCATCGAGCAAACAGGAGCAGCCGTGTGTGGGCGGCCCAGCGCCGAGCCAAACGCTCTCCCTCCGTTTGGGGGATCTCTCATGAGCAGTCTGGCTGCCCGGTGACGCCATCGCCTGCCCCTCTGCGGTGGCCTGGACTGGACGCCGGCAGCTCATTATTTTCACGGCCCACGCAGAGAGAAGCAGAAGAGCTTCTCACCTCGCCCGCCGGACTCTACTGCTGCTGACCAAATAGGGCTTGGAGCTGTCACCTCACATTCAAATCAGCAGATGGGTGACATGCGTTCTTTTGACACCCCCTCCGTCTCACAGACGGGCTTCAGCGCACCACACTGTCTTGATATCGTCTGAGTCCATAACTCCACCCAGATGCTTCTCCTGCTTGTCCGATAATCATGTTATCATTTTTGCTAAACTAAAAAAACTGGCTCATCCACCTTTACATTCTAAAGTGTCCCCATAGTCTGCACCTTCCACAGACCAGAGAATAGATGACTGAAATAGAGAGGAAAGAGTCAGCAGGTCGACTCGGATCCAGAACTAGAGCTAATGAGCTGCTCTGACTCCTCACCTCTGAGGAGACATGTCTCAGGTTTTCCCCAAACTGGAACTCCCTCGACAGGGATTGTTTAGAGGTTTTCTAACACACAGGAAATGAGCAGAAGAATTCAGTCTGCATGTGTAATCCATCCACATTTGAGCTGCTTTAAAGAGACCCAACAGGCCACAAAAAAACACAATGCAACTTGGGGGGTGTTTGGACCCCATATTGCCTGGTTTTTAAAGGTTTATCTTGTCAAAGGCAGGCTTGCCTGGCCTAAGTGGCTAGCCACACCACTGGAACCTCCTGATGATTCACTAGATGCTCTGAATGGTAAGCAGACTTATTTAGGGATCTTTTAAATTGATTGCCCACCTGCACTACATGGCTCCCTCGCTCGTCCAGCGCATTTCAGGCGACAAACAACTACAAACAACGCCTTCAGCGTCTCGTTCAAGGACGGCTCGACACGTGGCCCAGGCAAGCTGAGAGCCCCCCACCTCCAACTGGCCACATTAGCACATCTAATAACGGAGCAGATCGCATGGACATCCTCCATTAGTACAACTCCATTCTAAACAACACTGAAGCCTCTTCAGTGTTACAGCTGATGGTGTGTGTTGGATGTATTGATCACAGGGGGAGGATGGCTCAAAGGTCACGTCCACCCAACAGTGGTTTTACGCAAGATTTCCCCTTTACGCAAGATTTCCCCCAAATTCCCCAATTCGACACAAAGTGGTTACTGCCTTGAAGAGACTAAACCATGGGAGGCTTCTTTTATACCCAATCCTGTCTCCAACAAACCTGCTGAGCCCTGTTGCTTTTTCCATCTATAATTATCTCCCTTTCTTCAAATAATTTTGTTATCAAATCGATTATTATTTTAAATAAACAAAGTTGTTGAAGTAAAGACTTTAAAAAAAAAATCTAATTACAGCTACATTCTTTTTGTTGAATTTTCTAGAAAACATCCAACATTTCTTGAAATTAGATTAGCGTACATAAAATGCTACATAAGATGACGTGTTCGGTTAACAGCTGTTGAAACCCTTTAGCTGAGAGCAGAAGTAGGCACATGAACACACAACAAGCCATTTTCCGTCCGCTGGTTTCTATGGAGACAATATCCGTCATTCAGGATGCTGGAGTTAAAAATAGGCGCTCCTTTCACTTGAACACTCCTCCCCTTTCATGCTGTCTTTGAGACCCGCGGTGTCCAATAAAATGGACCTTTGCCCATTTTCTTTCCTTCATTAAATTAGAAAAGGTTGTGAGGGCTTCTTTTCACAGGGACTTTTATACTTTTACACCCAACAACAACTACAATGTGCGGCTCATGCTTTGCCTTTTCTATGCTACATACATAAAAATGAGGCCAAACATCATGGCTTCTGGACTTTTTAAATAAGGAGACAGTACATTACTCACCAACAATAACTGCTGCAGATATGATTACAGTGCAAATAAATGAAAATGTATCCCAAAATCTGCCGTATCTTTGTCTTAAATCAAGAAAAACAGCAACTTTTCATCGGTTTCAGGCAGGAGGGAGGTTTAAACATGACAGGTTGGGTACAATTCAGCTGAAGCAACATTATAATTGATTTGCATGTACGGAAGAGCAACATCCAGTGGGGTCATACTCGCTAACCTCAAATATATGCAAATATCAACATTTGAATTTTTTTTCCCCATATCCTAATCATGTCCTCATTTACAAATGTTTATCTCTATTCAGCCCATTTAGATCCATGATTGATAAGGAGATAAGATAGAGAAGAAACATTCATTTTGAACATTTGAATTTCAAAGATTCAAATGTTTTTAAAGTTCTACAATCTACATGGGCCATGTATAAGGCTCCATCAGACAGAAATCCTCCATACTAAAATCAAGTCCACCTTCTATGCAGCATGCAAATCTGTCCAACAGCTGCTCTGTAGGTCAGTTTAGAGTCACAATTTCATATTAACGCATCCAATAAACACAGGATCCAGCTCTTTAGTTAAGCTTCCATAGAGAAAGCAGGATAAAAGATGTTCCCACCTATTATTGAGGCAAAAATGATACAATGTCCATCTATAATATGACAAAAAGGAACCACAGAAACCTATTTTTTACCTCCATAAACCTTGAACTCTACAGTGAGTGTTGTTACATATCTGGAGTTATCTAATAATGCTACAAACAGAGATGGCCTAGAGACTTAGTTCTTCTTTAAAAACATCCATGTCAGGCAGAGAATGCACAGCTGCAGTCAGTTAAAAGAAAACAAACCTGGAAAATATTAACTTAACACAGGCAGGATAGTTAGAAGGCTTTAGATCATTTTTGGGTGGCTGAATCCACCCAAAAATAGAAAGTAACGTTGTTTATTTTAACGTAATTTTTGAAGGACTGGGACACTAACACATTGTTAGTGGGACTTTTGGGAAAAGATGGAGTGCTCTGCTTGGCTGGCGGCTGATTTGAGCTCCTCTCCAGGCCTCTGATCGTCTCTCCCTACATGGACCCATCCCATCACCACGCCCCTTCGCTGGCTCCGTCTATTTCCCGGAAAACATTTGACATCCATGTTGACAACACAATGTTTTTTTTCCCTTCCTTCGCTTCAGCCCCCAGTGAAACTGCAGATAATTCAATTAAGCTACACACACGAGGATCGATCGAGCCTGAGATGATGTGGAAGAAAACCGACCCAGTCCAGCTAATTCCGCTATACTGTCAGGGGACAGTTGCACAGTAAACGAGCCAAATTGCACATTTTGCTATCAAAAACAGACATAATACCCAGGGAAAATGTCGGTAAGGTTTATTAAAGGAGTGTGTGCCCAGCGCCAAACGTAGACATGACGGTGCAAAGCCCCACACCAAAAATAACTTTAATATTGAGCAATTTCTTGATGTGCGGCTTGAAACCAAATAAACAAACACTTACAATCACAGGTGAGGGTTTTTAATAGGGAAACATTATTGTTTTACACATAGGCTTACATAAGATTTTAAAAGCTGCGCCGAATCGCGTGCAATTTAGCATTTTGTTACGTTTGTTTTGCATCACGCGCTCATCCGGGAAAACAGAAATGAGCATCAACAAATCCCATCTAAAATCTGAGAAGTGTGTCTGGTGATTGACACGGCGTATTTAAGAGTTGTTGTTGTGTTTTTTTTTTACATCTGGCTATTGCTCCTTTAAACGACAGATACGTTTTCTGCACTGGACGGAGTTAATGACTTATTTCTCAGCACGGGCTGACAGTCAAATGTCCGGGAAGCTCGTTAGCATTAGCCTTAGCATCGCGGATAACTGCCAGTAACGTGTCCTCCTGGCTAACGTTACCTTGTCCTCTGACGCCTGCTGTTGTAACGCCTCGTCGGTGTCTTTGGCTCCGCGGTGCCTGAGCTCCGTCATCTTGACGTATCGCGGCCGAACAACGACAGAAAAGCTCCAGAGCCTCCGACAAACCGACCGTGTATTCGGATTAAGTTCAACCGGGCTTCAGGCTCGATGTTTCCAGCAACACTTTGACTGGTAGAAACCTCAAAGATGACAAAACCAGCAAGAACAAGCCGTCGGGGCACTTCCGGTTTTCAGCTTAAAGCTGCGTTTCTGCCACACCAAACGTAGAAAAATCCGAAAAGAAGCGTGAATTTGTACTCAGTACTTGGTAAACTACAGGCGAACAAACTTCCCCCCTGCATCCTCCTCCAGTTTTTAAATAATTTGAAGGATCAACAGCCACTTTTTAGTTCCAAGTCTGATGTCTTACTCTGCAGAACATATTTAAACCAGGAACAAATAAAGGCAAGGCTAGGCAAGTTTATTTGTATAGCACATTTCGTGCACAAAACAATTCGAAGTGCTTCACAAAGAATTTAAAAGCAGAAAAACAAGAAAAGAAAAAATAATAAACATTAGACAGATAAAAAGTGAAGGGTTCAGATGAAATACATTAAATTTCCATATGCACACTTAAGCAGAACCGTTTTCAGCCTGGATGTAAACATTGTCAGAGTTGGGGCCTGTCTCACGTCTTCAGGAAGACTGTTTCAGATTTTAGGAGTATTGAACTGAAATGAAGCCTCTCCTTGTTTGGTTCTGACTCTGGGCACCACCAGGAGACCAGAACCTGAGGTTCTTAGAGTCCAAGCTGGTTCATACAACTCTAACATATCAGAAAGGTATTTTGGTGCTTGATCATGAAGAGATTTGAACACAAGCAGAACTGTTTTAATGTATATTCTCTGAGTGACAGGAAGCCAGTGGAGAGACCTGAGCTCTGGAATGATGTGGTCCTATTTCCTGGTTCTGGTCAGAACTCTAGCAGCAGCGTTCTGGATGTTTTGCAGCTGTCTTAGAGCTGGTTTAAAGAGCCCAGTGAGCAGCCGTTACAGTAGTCTAACCTGCTAGAGACAAACACATAGATTAGTCTTTCTAGGTCTGGTTTAGACACTATTCCTCTGATTCTGTTAAAGTTCAGGTCGGAGTCCAGTATTACCCCAAGATTCTTGACCTGATTTTTAGGTTCCAGAGAGAGTCTGAAGGAGACCAATGACACTTTCTCTTAGTTTCTGTAGGCCGCAGACCATGATCTCAGTTTTGTCTGGGTTTAGCTGGAGAAAGTTGTTCTGCATCTTTGTTCTGCATGCAACGACACAATAAATCTCCAGGCCCCTGTTCTCCCGCTGTCAGTGACACATAGATCTGAGTGTCATCTGAATAGTTTTGGTAGGACAGATTATGGCTGCGTATCAGCTGTCCTAATGGAAGCATGTACAGATTGAACAAAAGGGGTCCCAGGATTGAACCTTGGGGAACCCCACAGGTCAGACCCATTCGGTCTGAGACACAGTTCCCAATTTCAAAAAAGTAAAACCTGTCCTGGAGGCAGGACTTGAACCACTTTAAAGTCGTATCAGAGTTTCCCACCCAGTCCTCTAACCTCTAAAATAAAATCACATGGTCCACTGTGTCGAAGGCAGCGCTCAGGTCCAGCAGAACTGGGACCGAGACTTTGCCTGTGTCTGAGTTCAGGTGGATGTCGATGGTCACCTTGATCAGAGCTGTCTCAGTGCAGTGGGGGGGCCTAAAGCCTGACTGGAAGGCATCAAACACATTGTTACACAGGAGAAAAAGTCAGTCAGCTGTTGATATACAACTTTTTCCAGGCCTTTTCCTAGGAATGGCAAGTTTGAGATGGGCCGGTAGTTGATCAGTACTGTGGCATCAAGACTGCTCTTTTTTTAGAAGAGGCTTGATGACAGCAGTTTTTAAGGCTTTTGGGAATGTTCCCGTCTGAAGTGACATGTTGACTAGATGAGCGAGTTGTGGTAACAAACTGCTCAGCACCGACTTTAGGAATCTAGTGGGTAACTGCTCCAGACAGCAGTTGGATGGACTCAGGCAGCAGATTAACTCCTCGGTAGTTTTGTAAGTGACAGATGTAAACTGTGTCGGCATTAGATGTTTACCTGGGGGCAGAACAGTTATTTCTGTTTTGGTAATGATTAAATTTTTTCTGCCTTTAACTTTGTCATTAAAGAATATTGCAAACTCCTGACATTTGGATGTAGACATGAGTTGTAAGGGCAGTGAGACTGGAGGGTTTGTTAATCTGCTAACTGTAGCAAACTGGACATGAGAGTCGTTTCCGCAGTTCTTGATGATTTCGGAAAAATAACGCTCTCTTGTACTACACAAAGTCTGGTTGAAAACATTCAACTTTTGTTTGTAGATCTCAAAATGAACATGGAGCTTTGACTTTTGCCACTTCCATTTGGCTTTCAGGCACTCCTTTCTGTGCCCTGACCAAGTCATCACTTTTCCATGGTGCCTTTTGTCTGTTTTCAACCACTCTGACCTTGACAGGAGCAATGGCATCCAAGACCTTTAAGACACTTGATGTCTAAGAATTCAGCAGATCATCAACATTAGAAGATGGCGTATCTTCAAACCTGATAATTTCCAAAAACTGTGTCCCCGTGTTGTCTTTAATGAGTCTTCCCCAAACAACTGCAGACCCAACTGCTGGTTTGGGTGTAACAGCATTGTGTATTTTTGTGAGAAAATGTTCTACTAAACTAAGCACATCTTGAATATTTCAATACCAATTAAGGTGCTTAGTATTAACCGGTCAAATATATGTGATTAATTAATCATTAGGAAGCCTGATTGCTTCTCTGAGCAAGCAGGTGTGTTTACACAATGCAAAGGGGGATGATGGCAATGATCTTAGAGAAACTATTGCTGATGGGGTTTTTTTTTTAAAGGGAATGGTTGCAATAAGGTGATTTCTAAGCTTTCACAGTTTACTTCAACATTTAGAACAGCTGTCAATCTTCCAAAGAAATAGATGTCCCAGCAAAGTCAAACACCTAAGAGCTAGATCTCAGACTCCAAAGGCCCCCTTTAAAGGTTAAAGGTCATGGCACTGAAGTAGAAAAGGCTGAACAAGTGCAGCTTGTTTGTTTGGGTTACGGGAAACAGCCTTATCCATCCATCCATTTTCCATCCATCCATCCATTTTCTCAACCACTTATTCCCAAATGGGGTCACGGGGAGGAAACAGCCTCTCATTTGTAAAAAAAAAAAAAAAAGAAAGAAAGAAAAAAACAACATGTCAGCACAGTTCGGGTTTGCAAAACTGCATCTGATCAAAGCTCAGCGTGATGGAGCTGCTAATTCAGAGCTTTAGAAATTCTGTACTGAATCTAACCAGTAAATGTAATCTAAAACGGGAGAATTTACCATCTCTTCTTTCTGTTATCACCAGAACTCTGGCCACGCCATTTTGGATCAGCAGGAGGCTTTTCAGAGTCTTTTAATACAACTGTTTTTTTTTTTTTTATCAAACTCTAACCTCAAATATTTCCCGAAAAAAAAATCTCAATGATATGATTATTTAGAAATCGTTTATCTGCGTTAAGACCAATATTTTAAGGCCGGACTGCATATTCAATGTTTGTGTGAACATTTTCATTTGATTTAGACAAAAGTTCCAATGTTTGTGTGAAAATTTTCATTTGATTTAGACAAAAGTTCCAATCTTTGTGTGAAAATTTTCATTTGATTTAGACAAAAGTTCGTTAGATAAATATGTTTAAACGCTCCACTCTGATAGTCAGTGTTTTTTTAAAGTCCTGTGTAATTTTCACCTTTAACACCAAGTGGCAGCAAACGCTCACAATGCTGTGCGCCCTTGTGTGCATGTGCTTATCTGTGCAGTGTGTGTCCGCTTTGGCAGCCAAATTTTATAAATATTTAATGGCCTACCACTGTTGCAGCAGGGATTAAAGGAGGCTGAGCACTGCAGCCCAAATACAACATGTCAATAGCACCTGGGCGCATCCTTGAAGGTGTTATTCCCTGTTGGTGGCAATAAATGCAGGCAAAACAGCCAATCTGAAATATAAAAAGCATTTTTCAACTGAATTGGAGTGACAATCTGAACAAACAGGCTTTGTTCATGAGAGACTGAAAAGGCCCATAAATCTGGTCACTATATGGCCTGGGTGGATAAAGTTGGGGCTAGCAAGAAGGGAAACAGGGCTGAGCTCTGCCAAAGGACTCAAGAAGTGGACTGAAAACCAGTGGCAGCAGCTCTGATGGAGGGATGAGTCCTCCTCAGAGCCCGGAGCTCCAAATAATGAAGCAGTGTGGGATCATCTGACAGAGAACGGAGCCAAAGGAAGCCCACATCCAAAGAAGAGCTTTGGGACGTCCTTCAAGAAGCCTGGAGAGCTGCTCCTGAAAACACAGCTGCTTGGAGAGGGCTCAGAGATGGAGGAGAAAGGAACTGTTTTTAAACTGATTTGACAGCCTTTCCTCATGTATTCTGTATATTTCTACATAATTTCGCTTGGTTTGGTCTATTTCTTGTTTTTATTTTGCTAGTTTATAACCAAAACATTTTCACAGTAAATTAATTCCATGCAAACACTGCCTGAAAAACCTATAAAAAACAGTTTCAACCTGTTTTTCAACCATAAAGTCTTCGGTCCTGTTTTTTTTTTGCCATCACTGCAATATGTTGACATTCTGAAACTGACTCTGTATGGCACAATAAATTACGTGTAACATCGCCAAGAGGCTGCTGTAATCTAGCTGTTAACGAGAAACAAACATCCCAGTTTGTTTTTACACCTTGTCTGGTATTTCTGAAAATTCAAACTAATTTAGAATACATTTTTCTTAGTTTTCAATACCTTTAGTGAGATTTCTTTAGTGTAAGGGGTTTATGAGATGTCAAATTTGATGTGGTAAGGCTAAATTTTGCCACATTTTGCCTTTTTCCACAGGATGTGAACCATTTGAAATAGTTTGAATGAAGAACTAGTAGCAATGAGTCTGCTCAGATTAATATGATCCACATAATGCCTGAAATGAGAGCCACTTTGGATTTTAAACCTGCAGAATTTACGGAATTTCGGTTTTCACCATCCCTTCCGAGTCTTTTCAAGCCAAACGAGAGGAGAAATAGGGCATAAAATCCTCTCTGTGCCACACATACGCCCATCAGAAGACGAGGACTGCAGTGCTTTTGACGGAGACGCTCTGATCTTTGCTGCAGTGCGATGATCTGACTGCACATGTGCTCGCTGACCG